TTTTCTCATTCTTTCTTTCCTCTCTCTCTCCGCTGCCCGGGTCTCGGATGCAGCCGCTTCCCTTCTAACTTCCCTGCTGCCCGTGTCTGCAGGCTGGGTGCGGACCCCCGACCCCCCCCGGGGCGAGGATGACCCTCCTGCCTCTTTAAATTGCCCCCCCAAACAAACAACAACAACAACAAAAAAGCGCTTTATTTTTGAAGGGCGGGGGGGGGAATTTCGCTTTTCATTTTTAATTTTTTTTTTCTTAGGGTTGGTTGTGGTTTCGGTTTTTTGGTTTGTTTTTTTTTTTTTAGTTTTTTGGCGGAGGGGTGGAAGTTGGAATCTTTTTATTTCCTCCTCGGCCCCCCCTCCCGCGGGGCCGCCCCCCCGTGCCCGGCTGCCCCCCCCCGGGCCCCGCAGAGCCGCTCCGGAGGAGAGAGAGAGAAAAAACGCCCGGACTGCTCCAGCCTCCGAAATGACTCAGTAACTTTTACGCCTCGAGTCTCAGCCCTGCAATTAGGCACTTTCCCAGCACGGCTCGGGATGTATTCGTCTCCTCTCTGCCTGACCCAGGTAACCGGGACCCCCCCGCTTCCCCCACCCTTTTGCTCCTTTCGCCGCAACAGACTTTAACAGTTGCAATGCAAAAGAAAAAAAAGAAAAAAACAAGAAAACCCAAGAAAAAGCAACACCCCCCTCCCTAAAAATAATCATAACAGAGAAAGGCGGGTTGGGGCCGTGCAGCGCTGCTCAGAGGAGCCGCGTTCCCCTCCTGTCCCCCTCCCTCGCCTTTTGTAGGGTTTTTTATGGTGTTTCTGGTGCTTTTTGGGTTTTTTCAGCCTTCACTTTCACTTGGGGTGTGGGGGGGTTGGAGGATTGCGTTGCGGTTTGGGTTTTATTTTTTGTTCGCTGTGCCCAGAGGTGGGTGGTGCGGGGAAGCTGCCAGCTTTGGGGGTGAGGGGGGACACCGTGGGGTGTGGGGGGTCCCGGGTGGGTTCGGGGAGCCTGGGGTGGGGGGGGGCTCGGCGCTGCAGGCTCGGCCTCGGCCGTGCTGCCTCTTGCATAGCGTGAAACTTTTTCCTTCCCCCCCTCCCAGCCCAGCTGCACATGGTGGGGTGCAAGGGCTGGGGGGGCACAGGCTTTTTGTTGCGAATCCTCCTGGTTTGGGACAATGTGCACCCGGCCGTGCCACGCCGCGCTGGCGGGCGAGAGGGYGGAGGGGGTTCGTGCACGGCGGGATGTGGGGGGCACCCCCTTGGTCTCCGAGGYGAGGGGCAATGTCGGTCCCCATCGGGGTGTCGGGAGCTCGGGGGGCAGCCCCGGGCYGTGCGTGGGGACACCGGTGTCACCCCAGGCCACGCCACTGTGCTCCGGTGGCACGCGGCAGGGTGACCATGCCAGGGCCCAGGGTGCAGGCAAGCGAGGCGTCCCCAAAATCTCCCCCCAAGAGCCGATATGGCCACGGGGGGGAGATCCAGGGACCCCCCCCCCCCCTTGCCCACAGCACAACCACTGCGGCTCTGCCTTTGCTCTGTGCTTATTGATCGCTGATATTTATTTAATTATTGAGCAGGCAGCTTTCCCCGGCTCGTAACCTCTTCCCTGCTGGCAGCTGCTGCCCGCTCCAAGCCCGGCCTCGTGCTGCACCCCACGAGGGCTCTGCTGTGAGGAGGGGGTGCTGCTGCAGRACTCCCCTGCCCGTGCACGGGATTCTCCTGCCAGACCCCCTCCATGGGGCCAGAGCTGTGGGCAGGGTCTGGCTGCACCTCGGGGGCTCAGGCTCTGCTCTTCGGGGGGTCCGTGGGGGTCCCCTCGTGTCCCTGTCGGGTGCGGGGGCAGCAGGGTCTGGCCGCGGCTCTCCCGGGTGCAGCGCAAGGCTGGCGAGGGCACGAGCAGGGCAGGGGCAGGGTGGGCAGCACCAGGGCTGCTCAGATGACCCTGAGGTGGTGCTCCCTGTCGTGTGGTTGACTTGGCAAGGGTCACACCTCAATCTGGCTTTTTTTTTCTTCTCTTTCTTTCTTTCTTTTTCTCTGTTTATTTTCTATTTTTTCTTTGTCATTTTATTTCTTTTTCTCTTATTATTTTTTATTTGTATTTTCTTTCTTTTTTTCCTTT